GCTAAATCACACAACAGAGATTGATAAAAGAAGGACTATAGATACAAGTACAAGTACATGCAATTACTTCATAAATACACTCATAAGCTTATGAAAGTAGTATAGTACACATAAATGAAGAAGAGTAACGTGGACTAATGGCTACTAAGGAAATACCTTGGCCCCTGACTGCTCCTTTCTTTTCGAGGAGTCCTTCTTTGTCAGGCTTGATGTTAATGGCGTAATAGGAGAGCTCCCTCTCATTGAAACGGATGGAGGACCTGTACATGTTCCCAGGCCCTCTTGCTGTTAAGGGAAGGAGAGCTGGGAACAGTGAATGCAAAAAGGCGATGAGTGGGCGGAGAAAACACGCCCATTCATTAAAATTAATAACTATTGTTATACTTACCCACGTGTAATCACGTGTTTCTAGAAATGCAGTCAAAACCTGCTATTGTGAAATGTTATGTGATTAAGGACCTAAGGACAGCTCTAAAAGTAGGAGGGTAGCATCAGCCCCACAATATAAATTTGTATTGTTGGACCCCTGAAATAAGGATGCTTTCATAGTCAGGACTATGATAGATGTTTGGAATAGACAGGCTTAAGTAAGCTTTTCTGCTAACTCAACTAAATTTGTCTAATACTGCAATTAACTGTATATTTACATGTGTAATCATTATGCTCAGACTAGCATTGTAACTGTATATTTTAATATATTCATATAGCCAATATTCATGAACTTGTTTATCAATATTATTGATTCCACCCACTTTACTGATTGGGAAAGAGCTTGGGAAAGAAGAATGGAGGCTGAAGAAAATCCATACAGCAACAATGAAGTGGAAGTTCCTGATGATAAGGCCATATATCCAATGGAACTTGATGATGCAAGTGGCTTTGATTTCCAAAGGAAAATAGCATCAGTTCCTTCAGAGAAAACAAATATTGTCATCATAATTGCATTGGTGGTGATAATATTCCTTTTGATAATCCTACTTGGTGTTTGCGGAGCTACTGCCCATCATGTATACAATACTACTCCAGCTTCAACTGACTGCACTACTAGCACTGCAGCAACTTCTTCTCCTGTTCAATCAGGGTCTGGGAATAACTCTTCTGATCAAGACCGGCTCAATCGCCACAATGAATTGGTTTCCGCAATACAAAATGTCACTGATTTGGTTAACTCCCAGTTGATGTATACTGCTAGTAATGGTGACTATATTGGTCAACTCATGAACTCAACAACTCAAAGTCTCGCAAGTATAGTCAACACGCTCTCAAACCTTGGTGACACTGGTACCTCTACTGCTGGTGTTGTTGACAACATATTGTTAGTTGTCAATAACATATTGACCATACAGAATGGCTCCCAGCTATTCAACACGTTCAAGCATATATCATGCAGTGATGTCTACAATGCTCTCCCTAACAGTCCTTCAGGTTACTATCATCTTAATAGCAAAACTGTGTACTGCAATATGGATCAGCTTTGCAATGTAACAGGAGGTTGGACAAGACTGGGTTACTTTGATATGACAGATGCTACCACTAATTGTCCCTCTGGATTTCAGCTCTACCAGCAATCTGGGGTCAGAGCTTGTGGTAGACCTGGTACCACTGCAAGTTGTGTTTCTCAAGGCCTGATCCAAATG